TATGAAAGAGGAAATCCGGGAGGAACATCTTTCTCGTTGCGGTACCTCTTTTTCACAGGGTTCCTGTTGCCATTGAAGGCAGTCAACGGATCAGTCGGACAAAGCCGGTGACCAAAGACCAGTTACCCACCCGGTGCCTCACGGCCATCCTAATCTATCCTAGACTTTGCCAAAGGTCTCCAGAATTGGGGAACTCATGCTATACATGGGTAATTTAGCCTTTTATTTAGAAATGCTTGATAATAAGATGAGAGTAAGAAGAAGGGAGAAAAAGGAAAATTGGGGAGAAAAACGAGAAGATTCAAAAAAGAGGAAAAGAATGAGAAATAAAAAGAACAGCGCCGCTTATATAGGGGCGAGGGTACTGTAATGGGGAGGCGGAGTTTGTGTACCGAGACGAGCCAGGTACAGACAAGTTAATGGGATTTTGTAATGGGCTGGTCGGTAAAATGAAAGGTGGGAAAGGGAAAGGTTACAAATAAAGGAAATGGGGAAAGAGCAATGAATTACGAAATAAGGCATAAGAGTGGGGAGCGGCTGGGAAACTAAATATTCAAATTCTACCGTAGTCTCAGAATATCGAAAGACATCTTTCGACAGCGAATTTAAGATTTTGAAATTTACTTCGAAGTAACTTTGGTGGCGAAAAAAATCTTCTACGATCCACCTTTACCAACCGGAGGATGCCTGGTTTGAGGTCCAGTCGAAGCACCAGCGGACTTTGAAGCGACACCAGCTGGTGATAATAACCGGAGAGCTTATTGGAGGATATTTTGGAATTTCTGTCAAGTAAACAAAATGGCACAAACCAGATATTCCAGACATTCTTAACATTCTAGAAAGTTTCACACATTTTATAGTACCCTGCGACTTTGAAGATTCTATAAGTAGATTTCAGAAGTTCCAGTCGTTCTAGGCATTCCGAATTTGGCAGAGTTAGAATATTACGCATAAGTAGGCACCACAACAACATTTTCAAAATAGATATTTCCCAGTTTTTAATGTTGGATTGCCTTCTCCTACTTTATAAAAGTCCATTCCTAAGTTTCAGCAAAAAATCTTCATTCAATCCCGAGTTAAGGACCCTTTTGTACCAGACTCCAAGTACTGAGTTTCTCCTCATGTTCTTGCGGTGCGCAGAAAAGTGGGCGGGGTTTAAAAGCTTGCAATCCTGCGGCGCGGAAAATTCGTAAAGGAAATTAAAGAAAAAGCTAACAAGCACATGAGGGATTCGAACCTCAGCCGTCTTCGGATCGACGCGATAGTGGCCACGGTTGTACTTTTTGTGCAAGCCCTAGAGGAGATAGAGGAAAGGGCGATTGTTCGTTGCCTGCCGCCTCCTTTCTTAGTTCCTTTCTTCCTGTTTTTTAAACGAATTGCTCTATGAAAAATGAGGAAACAGCCGATTTTCAGTATAAGGGCGTCAGTAGAATTTTTTAATTAAGATAGTATTTAGTGTCATATGGAAAAAAGAAAATTTCTTATGGAAAAAAGAAAACTCACCTGTGTCACCATCAAAACTTCCAAAAAACCAAAAAATGTGAAAGTTGTGAACTTTCGGATGGGTATTAAAACTACTTAAAAGTAATAATTCTTTCTGGAAATTGGCAGAGATATACACAAGACTTAGTTTTATTAAAATATGCAAAAAAATGTTGGGGTCATCGCTGAAATTTTTTTGTATTTTGGCTGGAACTTTCGCTGAAAATTGTGAACCAAGGGCGTCGGTAGAAGTTTGATTTTACTTTGAAATCCAATTCCCCATTTTATAAACTACCAGAATCTATCAAAAAATCTGGTGGCACGGACTTCCATCCAATACTTTCAGTCCAATTTGTCAGTTCAGTTCCTATTTTTTGAATTTTTCGAATCAAAATAACGAAAATATCAAAAAACTGATGGTTTCATTCGATTTTTCGCAGCCGATTACATAGGGACAAGTTCTAACCTTAAAAATAATGAGGCACTAACGCCCGGTACAAGACTTCAAATATGGACTTCTGAAAAGGGGAGAAAAATTTGGTCGCCCCGCCCCTTTCATTGCGGCGCCTACGCATAAGGGAATTAAAAAAAGAAAATTTGTTCAAAATTATGAGAACAGTAGAGTGAATTGCAGGTTTATACGGACATTATATTTATACGGACATTATATTGTGTAAGCATTAAATTTGCAATCACAAAATCCATCTTTTAAGCATTTTCTGTTATAAAACTTTGAAAACTACCCTAGTTATCTGGAAGAGTTTAAGAAATGTCATAAAACCTTCGAAGATCTGGGCCTAAGCAGTCGTAAATTTCAAACCTAAGCAATCCTGTGATCTAAAACATTTTCTTGTCTTGAATTCAACTAATTACTAACTCGGTTTTTCCTTCATCTCCCAATTACTACAAATGTATGTCCCTGTTATATCTCCTAGTTTCATAGACATTTCACGTGTTAGTGGTTTTCTCCCCTTCGTTGAAATAAATAAATAAATAAATAAATAAATCCAGATTCCGAGAAAGCTAATCTGCGATCAGGGATACAGAATCAGGAGTACATATTCCGCAATCCTGCGCACATAATCCAGTACACATAATACAAAACCCGGAATCCACCGATGTTACTTTGAACTTTCCTGATTGATTAAAAAAAGCAGGTTTCTGTGGGTTTGTTGCATCGGCTGCTTTTTTTAAATTCGGCATTTTTCAAATGTGATTTTCCCCTCTCCTAGAAGGTTTTAAACTTGAAATTTTTTGTGTTAAACCTAAAATTATGTGGAATTTTATATTTTTATATTTTTATCACAAAATTAATTTTTGGAAAAAGTTTTAGAAGTTTTCACAGTTTTCCTATACTTCGAGAGGGCTCAAGTTCCCAAGTTCGGAAACTTTTCTGATGAAATTGTAAACATATGAATTGTCACAAAGTTTGAAGTACGACACAAAAAGTTTCTAATCGTAAAACCTTCTAAGAGTGAAAAATATCACGTTTGAACAATGCCGGTTTTACACTGAAAAATAGATTTTTTGGTACTGAAACTGAAATTGCAGCACTTTAGAAATCGAGCAGATTTTAAAAATTTATTTATATTCGAAAGACGCTCTTTCATCATGTGGAATTAGTTCATGCAAATTCGAGGGTCAACTTAAAAGGTTCCCTTGACAATCAACCCTCTTCGGTAAAACATGGTCAGAAACCGGCAAAAAAAGGGATCGAGAATGTTCCCTTTGGATGCATTTGTACTTTCACAGGCGAAAAATGAGGCGGTTGAGGAAAAGGGAAAATTAAAATGGCTATATGAAAACTGGCGGAGCAAAAATTGATGCACTTATTACTCAGACGGTGATATCAACGAGTGAACATGTGGATAGATATGCGGGTAAAATGCATTGAGGATGAAATTAGGGTAAAAGTGTTCAATAGAGAAAAGTATTAGGATGAGCATTAACATCAAAATTATTATCAAAAACTACGTTTAATGCGAAACAACAGTTGTTGGGTCTCAAAATGTCGAAACTATTCAACTAACTAAGGAATACTGTTTTAAAAAACTAGCTTCCAACGGAGAACCGAATAAAGATGGGAAAACATTATCTAGATGATAAGTATCGATAATTCTGAATCTTCAGATGGATAATGAATTTGATAAACTCATTCTTTGGATGTAATTGGTGTGAGAAGGAAGAGCAGTGCCACAATCCCGACTTCGACGAATTGTCCATTGATAAGCTGAAAAATCAAATGAATATAATTCACCAAAAACTTAGGTAAAACCTACCTTGTCATGTTTCAGTAACAATTCAAACTTTATTTTCTTGCCAAGATCGGATTCAGCAAAATTCGGATCAAGAGATTTGAAGAGACAGAAGAGGTGAGAGATCAAGAGGTTGTAGTCAATATTGTAAGAAGCATTTCCTGAGATGTTTGTGCGAACGGCATCCCGGCTTTTGCAATGCGTACTGCAAATTATGAACACATCGCTCAGCCCATTCAACACGTCACGCAGTGAAATAATCTGAAAGGGATGATTACTCAAAAAATCGAGAAAAGTATTGACATACGTATTCTTTGTTTTGTGTCACAACATCAATCTCCACTTGTGCGGCCAACTCGAAGAATCCAACATAGTTTGTAAAATCAATAAGCTTCTCCAAAAAAGATCGGCATTGAATCATTCCGAAACCAGTAGAAACCGATACTTCCTGTCTGGAAGAGGTTTCAGGAGTTTCTCTCTTCAATTTGAATTGCACCAAAGTCTTCGATACAGCCGATTTCTCGCTGATCATTACAATAAACATTTGAATCCCTGCTTTCAAAGAGGACGGATTTACAAACTGAATTAAAGACAAATTTTAGCGATATGTCAGTGATTTGTAATTCACCTTGGACACGTTTTGAGCGGTGAAATCTCTGGAGAAGCATTCATCTTCGATTTTCAAATGTATGGCAGCATTTGTGAGGAACTTATAAGTGGTACTGAAATGATATGCCTTGCCATCGAATTCATTCTCAGAACTGTTTCGCTTTGAAATTTCCAGAATGTAGTGCAACGCTCTGGTCACTGTAGAGATTGGAATCTTCTGTAAAAAAAAGTTCCGAGTGAGGACAGGTACTACAGTCTTACCGTGCCAAATGCAGTTTCCGTGAACAGCTGACGCACGAACTGCACTTCCTGGAAGAATGAGGAAGACTCATAGCTTTCTATGAATTTATTCAGAGCAGTGATAGCCAGGTGCATGCTAATTTGTGGTCCACTCTTTTCATACCGATCTCTGCAGAAAAACACTGGTAACGTCTAAAAACTGATGAAAAAACTTACGTGGTACGTGAAAACTCCAATTCCAAATAATTTTTCTGGAAGCAGCTGACTACTTTTTCAACTGTCGAAATGTAGTTTTCAAGTCCAGTACGGTTCGATCCGATATCCTCCGAACTTTCTTCAAAAAGTGGTGAACAGCAAGTCACGATATTAGACGAACTTGGGATTCCGTCTACCATTGGAGAGCTCCCGCAATTTTTCATTCTCTTGAAAGTTTGTTGAATGCCAGGCAGTGTTTTCCGTTCACGACCAACTGGATCCTCATTCCAAATTCTCTTTATGACATTTTTCTGAGCTTTAAGAATCGGACTGAAAAGTAATCATTGAAGATTAAACATGTTTCTCTAAACTCACGATTTTTCTTTGATTGTCTCGCCATCATAAATAACATCATCGTCGTCCTCAAGAGTGATGATAGAGATAGAGCTTTTCATTGGCATGTGTAGAATGCGATGTTGGCTGTGCAATTCTTCCAAAGAAGATGATGAAACACTCATCTGCAATTTTGTCGGTACTTCGATTGCTTTGATAGATTGATCCTCGCCAGAACCAGGTTCCTTGAGATCCATCTTCTGTGACATCATACCCTAAAATCATATTTATAAACTTTCGAATGATCTCAGGCTTCAAAGAATAAACAACGGAAATCAAGAAGGATGTACGATAATCAATTATTTAGAAGACTGCTAGTTTTTGTATGATTTATTTAGATAAAGACATTGATAGATATTGTGCGATATGAAATTGCCCTCTGGGCGATAAAAATACGTGTGCATAACTTTGAAGCAAAATAAATAATAATATTTGTCGGCTTGTTTGGGAAAAAGTATATTTCTGCCAGACGCCATAACTAGAAGATGTGTGTCAAAATTTTGAGCCCATGGAGAAGAAAGTTGAGAGTGAGGAAATATGCACAGTCTCTATGTCCTATATATAGTGAAAAACACAGAAGCTAATGTTAATCTAGGTAGTCGCGGAAAGATAAATTTTCAGCAGACACGTCACTTCATTCATTATAGTGCATACCATACACCTCGATGGGTAAAGATAATGTGGTATGTACTCAACGAAAATTGTGAATTCTACCTTAAAATATCAAAGAGAGATAAATAACGATGCGATACGGAAGAACAGAAAGCTGAAGAATGCGCAAGGAGGCGCGCTCACATACACTCACACACAAAAAACGCGCACAGGCCTGATGAGTCACTGACTGTACAGCAGAGACGCAGAGAAATCTGTTGTGGTCCCACTCAACGTATTTCATAATAGAGTTGAACGCACAATTTTACGATGATCAAAACAAATCAGAATGTGCCTGATTGGGACATTGCTGAAATCAAGCACTTTATCATTTTCACAGATTCACGCCTCATAGTTTTGGTGCATCCTCATCACATCATTTTATGTTCCATATCAGAAACGATTCAAGTTCTGAAACAAACTCAACAAACTCATGAATGTCATATGTATCAGGAAAAACTGATCAGTTACATCTAAAAAATTAGATTTTGAGATTAGTAAGATGAACTTGCTACCAATTAAAAAAAAAGACAAAACTTTGGATAATCCGAAAATATGAAAAAATATTTTTAGTATACATTTGAATCAGAATGTTTGAACAATGAAAACATTTGAATCAGTATGTGTAAACGATTGAAAACAATTGACATGGATAAGCTTTAAAAAAACTAGATGTTGCAGAGGGGAAAAGGAATGGGACCATCGTCTATTCAAATATCTAATACCATCAAGCGCAGCAGAAGCGTTATCTCCGAGTCGTGGACATCCTCGTCTTGCCAATCCTGACAATTTCATGTACAGAAAACAAGTTTATTTTTTAAGTATAAAAATTTTGATCAACTCACGCCAGTGGTTAGGAAGCGGCACGAGAGGATAATAATGTAGACAATTTTAAATGAGAATTTCAACTGAGATGAGCAACTTGGAAGTGTCTCGACGCTTTACTCGATTCACAATCTGGTAGTTTTTGTTTCAAATGGCGAAACTCTTTTAGTAAAATGGGATGTAGGTATTGATATATTATAAAATTCCGAATGAAGAATCTAGAATCCGGAATTTAGAATTAGGAGAATATATTTTAAAACCCACATAATTCAGAGCACACAATACAAAATCCATAATCCAGAACCTAGAAATCCATTGTCCTAAATCCAGAATCATGAAATTTTGAAATCCTGAAATCCTGAAATCCAGAAATTCGAAAATCCGGAATTTCGGAATCTGGACTTTATAATTCGTGTATAACGTTCTTTGGTTATAGTGGTCAGGAGCTTGAGATTATCAGCAATTACACATAATTCATTCATTTCGGTACCCTGTTAATCAAGTAAAAACCTATATTTTATTATCTCGTATCATCCCAAAGCACTCCTCTGAAAAATAGAAACCAATGACGCTATATTACAGTTTTTACGGTAATTGCCAAGCTTAGTTTCAATACTTTTCCATTTGAAAATGAAGCTGCCGTCAAGATTGAATTCGATAAATCTAAATTAAGGTCTTCAAAATTACTGAAATTATTTGCACTACGGCAAAATCCTTGAAATAAAAATCCAAAATCGGATTTGAAGAATTTTTTGAGAACAGCTGAATCGAAACGTTTTTGATGTCTAAAAAATGAAATTACCACGAATGTTCAGCATACAAGAAAATTTTCCATTTTTCAATTGATATTACAATCTGCGATTTCCCCGTTCATGAGACATTTTCCGGTTAAAACTTCGATTACGAAATAAGCGATATCGGCCGCTACTAACGACACTCCGTATGACAAGTGCGCTTTGTTTAGTGCGTAACAACTTCAAATGTGCATATCGGCCCTCATTTTCTTTATGCAGTTTTAAACCAAAAGTGTTTTTCTTTGTTTTCCCTTTTTTCTCCACGCTTTTCCATACCACAAAATACAGAATATGCAAAATATGAGAAAGACATGCACAGAAATGTTGTTATTTTTAGTAAAACTTGCGCAACTAGCGATATTTTCTGTTCTCGATACATTTTCCAGTCCCTCCTTCCCTTTTTCGTGTTTGTGGCATCATCAATCAATTTCTTTTTTGCTGTACTTGATCCTCAGCTGTTTTTCGTAATGAAAATCACTCAAATATAATTTTTCAGAATCATGTCGGACAACGATCCCGAGAAATTAGATTCTCATGGTAAATCGGAAATCGCCACCACCATCACAACGTCTTCTGAAAGGTGAGCAATTTTAAACTATGATTTAAAAAATAAGCTATTACAAAAAATTCTCAAGTGGCGCTAAAAACCTCCCATTCAGAGAGGCTATGATATTTTAAAAAATGCGCAATTCGTAAATTAAACGTCACCATCTTTCTCGAGGCATGTAACGTTATCCTAGCCTTAAACTTTTGTAGACAGCCGACTGCAGTTTGCGGCATAGCTGGCTGTCCTAATCATGATTATACAGGATTCATCATCTCAAAAACCTATGTGTTCTCAGAATCAAGTACCAGTCAAGTGTATTAGGACTACAGTAACCAAAAGTCTGTCTGCACACCGTGTCATAATGATAGCACCACCCTGGAAAACGGAAAATCTCATGTTTCTTTGAGTAATAAATTGAGAATTTTTTATTGGAATTCGTAAAAATAATTTTTAAATAGTCTATTTTGACAGCCTACACAAAAATTGTTTCCTCTATTCAAGTTTTGGAAAAAAAAACATTTTCAGACATTTCGTTATTTTTTGGGTTTCTGGAATAAATCTTGAATGACTTTGCTCCGGGGTAAAATTTTGAGCTAAAACTCACAGGAAATGTTTTGAGATTGCTCGTATTTATGGTGCAATTGTTCAAGACATTCATGAGCTCTGGTAACTCATAAATGAGCTCGAGCTTTGAACGGAAAAATACGCCAAAAAGGAAATTTTTTCAAAGAAGTGAAAAACTTTCAAAAGATTCTCTAAGTTACCGAAATTGTCTTCGGAATTATGATTTCGTACTGAAAAATTTGCACTTGACAAATTCAGTTTTTTAAAGAAAAAAAAAATAAGAATCACCGAAATTCAAGGCTCGTTTTCGAAAATTCGGTTCGGCTTAAATTACAAACGACGACTCGGAATAGCTATATGCGAAAGTATTTTCTATGAGTTTCAGCTCAAAATTTTGCCCAGGAGAAAATTTATTCCAAATTTATTTCGAAAACCCAAAAATAACGAAAATGTCTGAAAATAAAGTTCTCTAAAACTTGAAAAGAGTAATCAATTTTTGTGTAAGCTGTCAAAATAGACTGTTTAAAAATTATTTTGATGAATTCCAATAAAAAAATTCTCAATTTGTTTCTCAAAAAACATGAGATTTGTCATTTTTGTGCAGAAAGACTTTTGGTTACTGTAGTCCTAATACACTGGACGGTACTTGATTCTAAAAACACGTAGGTTTTTTGGCTCTTTCCGGGAAGAACGGTCCCAAAACGTGACCGCCCGTCCCATCATCGGACCACCAGTCCCAAGAATTGCGAGAACGGTCCCATTGTAAAAAAAATGTTCGTTTTTGTTGCTGAAATGTGTTTCTTAGTTGAAACAAAAATTACAATTTCTGATTTTTCCAATAGGGTTTCCAGGTTAAGCCTGTTTCGGATCGTTTTCGTACCCTTGGGACCGTTATCAGAACATTGGGACCGTTTTCGGGCCATTGGGACCGTTGTCGGAACAATGGAACCGTTGTCGGAACAATGGGACCGTTGTCGCAATTCGTTGGGACCGGCGGTCTAATGATGGGACCGACGGTCCCGCTTTGGGACCGTTCTTCCCGGAAAGAGCCGGTTTTTTTTTGGGATGCTGAATCGAATGGCTTTGGCCGTTTATCTCCAAGTTTTTTAGTTTTTCTGAAAACCTCAAAAAATTGGGTGGTGCTATCATTATGAGGCCCACTGTACTTGACCTATAAAACCCAATGTGAGAATCAGTTTTGAATTAGTCGGCTATCCTAACTTGGAAATCCTGTTTAAAACATTCGAAAACTTTCAAAAAATTATTGTCTTACAGACCGGATGAACCACCCAAAAGGACAAGGTCAGATGTTCAGACTACGTCTCTTGAACTCTCATCACGTCAGAAAAAAGAACGGGATGAAGCTGCCATGGCACATAGGTACGATCCGCTTCTCAAGAATGTCTATTGCATAATCATGGCCAGGAACCAAAAAGAACGGGAAGAAGCTGCCAAATCTCAATCAAAACCCATGGATGACAAAGAACTGTTCCCTCACAGACCGGATGAGCTGACCGAAAGAGAAGGACCAGGCAAAAACGACTGCGTGGCAAAATCTCAATTGAAGCCGATGGAGGATGAAGAGCATGCAGAACCGGAAATCCCTGGAAAAATCATCATTGCATCAAGTTCTACTCCAATTCATTGCGAATCATCACAAAAGAATCCAGAACTAGTCAAAAGCAGAAATGAAATGAAGGATCGTCCGAGAGCACAAGCAAACACTGATGTCGAATCCGTTGTCCCATTTGAAACTACTGATGTCGTAGATCTTTTGGCTTTAAAGAATGCCGCCGACGTGGTTTCATCATTGCCGATTTTGGATGTCACTGGAAGTCAAAAAGGTGTTGTCCTTCAGGCTTCCGAGATTGCAAAAGAGTTGGCTGAATTGCGAAGTGCACCAGAGTATTCTACCGTGGAGTTGAAGTCTCCAAACGCTGTTGACTTCAATTTTGGATTCGATGATGACTTCGTCGCTGCTGAAACGAAAGGTACTGCCGGGAATAAAGTTGTGGATGCTGTTGAGGACCCTGATATGATAAGAGACGCGAAGGCTGTCGTCGATAAACTGGTGAATGACGTGGACAAAAGCATACCAAAGCCTCGGAAGCCTCGACAAGCAAGGTGGAACTTCAAAAAAGCGGCCCAGATGGAAGCTGATGCTCTTCTCAGTTCTATAGGAGAAGGCTCGCAAGAGTAAGTATTGTGTAGTCTAGAAATACATCCTAACTCATTTTTTACAGCATTACCGGAATCATCATCCGTGAGAAGCTCTACGACCCATTCGTCGACCACGAAATACAGTACCGTGGTACAGATTCTTCTCGAAAAAGGAAAGCATTTTTAGTTCCCAACGAAAGATCTCTCCTGTTATCTTCCAATCAACCAAAACGTGCTCAGGCTTCATGGACTTGGGGAGGTGCCGCAGGTATCGAAGAAGTTCCAGACATGGAAGAACTGCCAGACAATGAAGAAGCGTCCAACATCAAAGAAGTGTCGGACAGTCTAGAAGACACCCGAGAAGCGTCAAGTATCGGGGAAGGATCGTCCAACTCGGCCGAATATCGTTCTATAAATCGTTGTGTTGAAGCTCTAGAATTCTCAAACATTGAAGAACTCTCGCCACGTCAACGTCAAATTGTAGCAGCGGAGAAAAGATTGGAGGAGTCATCCAGGGGCCGTAAACGTCAATCGACCGAGCCTCAAAGCCTCGTCACTCCCATTCGTAGGCAGAAAATTTCACACCTCGTCACTCCACGCCAACAAAAATTGAAGCATCTAAGTGTTCTGTAAGTTGATTTAAATGGTCTGTCAGTTTCATCAAGCTACTTTTCCAGACAACAGACTACAGACGAGCCTGGAAAAATCAAATGCCGTGTTGCCCTCTCAGTTCTGAAAAATTGCTTGCTTGCAATGGACTATACAGTGTTCCAGAATGAAATTAGAGAAATCGACCAACTGACATCGTCCTCGTATGAAGCCGTGGGTTTCAGGTCTTAGCTATAGCTGAAATCATTTTATTTTGAAGACCGTTCCAATCTCCACACTTTCGAGATCCCTTCACAACGTGTTGGTCATGGCCAAGAGATTCACAGATAATCACAGTACTATTCCTCTGGCAACTGTCTCTGTGACTTTGGCCTCGACTGTCCTCCAATTGAAGATGGTTGATGATTACGCGAAAAGGGTTTTCGAATTCAACAAAAGTGTAGCCCGTACTAACAAAGTAAGTCAAACGCGAAATAAAATTTCAAAGAGAGCATTTTCTATTTTAGATGGTGAGCACATCTGCTCTGAGAGCTGCCTTCAACATGGCCATTGTCATGGTCTGTGATATGTACTTCGCGATCCGCATCAAATCGCTCGATCTGGCAACCTCAAATGATTGCTCGTTTGCCGCTGAAGATTCTTTTCTAGGTGGAGAATCAACAATAGATTGCCAACAGCTTTTTAAAGGGCTTTACTTCTTCTTCAAAGTGGTTGGCATTGAAGATTTGGCTAGGGATCTGAGTAGTGACCGCTTTAAGAGCTCGAAATGCGTGAGAACATAGCTTCTCCAAGCGTGTTTGAAATTTCTTGTTTTAGAAAGTCCCGAGAAATGAAGTCATCATGGCTTTGAAGGATTTCTCTGAAGTCGCGTGCCGCCATTCCGTCGATCCAACCAAGGAAGATGGGTTGGAGAGCTTAAAATTGGACCTCAGCAAAGTCCTCACCCAGATGCTCTCCCTTCTCCTTTTTCTCGAATTCGAAGAGTCCGACCTTTACCAAGTGATAAAGGCAGAGGAGGAAAAATCCAAGGAAAAAGTGAGTTTGATAATAATGTTTTTCGTTTATATAGAGTACTTTTTCAGATGGTCAACCACGATTTTTTGAAGAAGGCGGCCATATACATGGTGTTTATGTTCTCTCCGTCGTCGGCCGAAGAGGGACCATCAGGACAGACCAAATGAGAGCAGCTCGATCCTAATCCAAAGAATGTAATTTTCAGTTTCCCACTTTTGTTTGTTGTTATGCTCATTCTCTTCTGTTTTCCTGAAAATTATCTCGTTGCCCCTAAATTTCACATCTCGTTCCCAGATTTCATCATCAAAGTTTTGTTGCTTTCACATCAACTTTATAATTATCGACTGGAAATAAATCTTGCTCAATGGAATTTTAAAACTCTTCTCTGTTTCCGTTTTTGTGGACCTCACCGATGAAAAATACTTGACATTATGTGAAAGGGTCTTTTATAGCATTCCAGGTTGCATTTCAGATAGCACCTACATCTTTAAAAAAAAACGAGGAAAGTGTCAAGTGCCCACAAATTTGGAAGTAATCCGGCCGAAATATGTGAGTTGGATCTTTTTTTTTGAAAAAAGTTGAATTAGAAATTGAATTCAAGGAACCGAATAGTTTTTTGTTGGTAATCCGAACATCCGTAACATCTAAGCTTGAATTTTTGAGTGTTTCAATTCTTTGGGAGCTGTCAAAGTTTCACATATGAATATATTTTTCAGAAAAAAGATCCCAAAAACAATATATTTGGTGAAAAAAGACAAAAATTCCGAAAAAAAAACAAGAAAAATGAAAATTAGACACCCAACGTTTGCATCATGACGGCTACGGTACCCTTCACACACCACAAACTACGCAAAAGTGGGGGTAATTGAATGGGTGGGGAGGCTCATTTCGAATTGATAAACTTTTCCAAATCTACAGATTTTTGGTGGTGGGGGGCTCTACTATAGTTCATTTTGGGGGGCTATACTTGAATTGGGGTGGGGGCTATATTTGAATTCACCCAAAATATGTTCAAAAAACAAAATATTTCCATAGTATTATGAATTTTTTGCCAGTTGACCACTTATTGAGTCATCTCACTGAGAATGAAAACAATTGATTCAAAGCTGTCAGTTAAAGGCATTCATATTAAAAACCTTCTTTCCATTACTTGTAGTCTTTTTCAGGTGTCAGCAAAAAGAACCTCGTAAACCGGGTTTGAAAAAGAAACATCCACGACATCGACAATTGAGACCAAGATAAATGGATCGGATCACACTGTGTCCTCAGCTGCAAAAAAAGTTTGCGGAGATTCAGTTGAAATTTTCGGATTTCATAATTTTAATGCTAGTTTATTCAAGACACATTTACTTTTATTTTGCAATAACTTATTTCGAATGATTATCTCTTCTATCATAATTTTTCACTTTTTTTAATAATCATAAGTCAGTTTCAAGAGTTTCTAATAATTGAAAAGGAACAATGTGTCGGTCTTCGAATATTTCTTATAGAAATAATGATTAAAGGCAATGCGGGATACGTTCGTTTTGGTGAACATTCCAAAACCGAGAAAAACGTTTTATAAGTTTCCGTAAAACTTGAAAAGCTCAATTTAATTGTTTCCAAAACATATACGTTTTCCTTGTTTTGAAAATTGTCTTTTTTGAGACAAATCTATGACTTCTAGAAATTGTAATCAAATATTTCATTTTTGCTTTCCTTATTTACTTCTCGATTTCGTAATAGCATTTTAACTTATTCCATTCAAAAATCTCTCAAGGCCTTCTCTTTTCGATTTTTTTTGCTCCGCAAACACAAGGTGCCTCTTTTTAACTGGATCAGCTGCCCAATTTTTCCCCTTTTTCTATTTTTCCTTTCTTTTCCCATTTTCTTTCTTCGTGGAGACTGTTGTAAAACTCGGTTGATTCGATTCTCAATTGAAAAAAAAGTAGCTCAGTGACAGATGTGGCACGCAAATATAGAAAGAGGATTCCTGCTGGTGAAACATGACTAAAAGAAAACATAAGAAAGGGACAGATAGGCAATAAAGCAAAAAATTTCTTGAGCGGAAGAAAATAAGTTAAAGTAGGTAGTCTTTTTCGAAATTGGAAAATGAATATACCTTGAATTCTCTGATAGAATCTTACCCTGATAGTGAGCTAGAGTATATAGGCAGCCAAGAAAGATACCAAAATAGGTAAATTGATAAAACGTTGGTACAATGAGAAGTTAAGTCATACAGACAGTTGAAGCGAGAATCGTCACTAATTAAAATCTATTCCAGTATCTATTAGGTTGGTCGAAAAGTAATGCGCGCTAAGTTTGGTGATTTGTAATTTGCCTGTAAACGATGGCTTCGGCCTAATGTTTCCTATATTCTAATGAGCATGTCTTAAGCTTTGTTTTTGATAGTTTGAATTCATATTTGAATTCATATTTGCATTAGAAAAGATTTAATAAAATACCCAATCAACATTTTCGCTTTTGAGCCTACTTTTAGCGTGAACTAAAAGACAGGAAAACAGCCGCCAAAGCTGACCGCTTTTTTTTCATCAGTATTTAGAAAACATGCTCTATCCAAAAATCTATATTGACGCTAGTTCCAACGTTCCAGTAACGTCGACCAATGCTTGGAAGGCAAAACACGCAGTTTTGTCTGAAAAACGTTGTCGGCGATTCTTTAGGATAAGCAATAGAACTGGAACCGTGCCAAACAACTCGCTGCTTATAAGGACAGTTTAATTTCACCCTTATCACTATTCTGGATAAAAGAACAGATGCTGAAAAAGAGTGTCAAACGAACTTCCCGATAATAACAAAATGAAGCGTGTCGAAGTGGCCAGTTTTCTCTTGCGCTGTTCAAAAAATCGTGGCCCTAAAACCGAGCATGCACGGAGAAAAGGTTATGCTATGTGTCTGGTGGAATACGCGAGGTCTGATGTATTTTGAATTACTGAAGCATGGTCAAATAGTGACTATTTGTCACGACAAAGGTTAGCTGTACCGCGTGGACCTGATGCTCAAACGGCAAGGAGTGGGCACATCGTCAAAGTTTATGGTTCACGACAACGCTCGACACCACACCGCAAAAATGGCTCAAAAATTTTTCGGAGTTGGGCAAGTGCCTTTTAACCGCCTTACAGCTAAGATTTGGCACTATCCGACTACTTTGTTCCAAACAATAAAGCACTATCTCGCCGAGAAAAAGTTCAAGAATAGGGAAAAAGTGAAAATTAGGGTAACGAACTACTTCGAGCCACAGCCAGTGGAGTTCTTCGAATCTTCGCATATACAGTACCGGTCACAAAGATATACAATTTGTATTTCACCCGAAAAAATGATACAAAAACAATTTTAACTTGAAAATCAAAAAAAAAAATTTTATCGAAAAAATTCACTATTTGGAAAAATTCTGATTTTTGGATGCTTTTTTTGAAAAACCGGAAAAAAAAGAAGACTACCATGAATATGAAACATAACATTTTGAACATAATGAAAAAGTCTTTGACCAGTTTTTAAGCAAATACTACCTCATTAAAGTAAAATTCCGGGTATGGTATGGTTGTTCAAAGTGTCAACGAGGGATTTCCGGCTTCTGGTTAACGGCTTCTGGTTTAAACATGGTTACCGCTTGTGGAATGCCCATTCCTGACTCACAGGGTCTGTTTTCATTTGCAGTTCAAGATGTAACATTCTTGTGTTGGCTCATATTGCTAATTTGAATCCCTCAACCGGCTCTACCAGAATGATTAAAAGTGAACATCATGCTGGTTTTAGCGGGCCTCGCAAAATAGAAAACCAGTGTTTGGAGCTCAAAGGAACATATTTGTGATTTGAAAACAATTAGATATTGTAGAATAACACCTGAAAAATGATAAAAACATAAAAAGTACCAAATATTGACCATTTGAAATTGTGGAACGATAGTTGGAATAGCCCAGAAGTCGGAAATCCCTAATTGACACTTTGAACAACCATGCCATACACGGAATTGGACTTCAATGAGGTAATATTTGTTTAAAAGTTGGTCAAAGTCTGTTTCATTATGTTCCCAATGTTATATTTCACAGCCATGATAGTTTTCTATTTTTTCCAGATTTTCGAAAAAAGCATCCAAAAATCCGAATTTTTCCAAATAGTGAATTTTTTCGATAAAATTTTTTCTTTCGATTTTCAAGTTAAAAATGTTTCTGTATAATTTTTTCGGGTGATTTGCTACATTTTACAGAAATGTTTGATACTTTAACTCTATTTTGAAAAAAGTTACAGTTGAAAAACACGAATTGTATATCTTATTGACCGGTACTTTACGTTGGCAGTAAGGGGTCATTAATGATGGACATTATCCTCTCGATTAATACTTCCTTGCTTTGTTTTTATAATAACTTTAAAGTACATCAAAAACGCGCATTACTTTCCGACCAACCTAATATACTGTGGACCAAGCAAATTTTGAAGGAGTTCATGTCCAATTTTTAGCAATTTGTTTTATTCGATTAAAAAATCGAAAGTCGCCAAGAATAACGCATAGCAAACCAAATTTTCGGTCTCTTCTAGAACGACTAATGTTTTCTATGAATATTCGCTCGACGTAACGGATTAGGAGTTGTTGAAAAGAACAGCACCACTCTCCTCTCCCTCCTTTTCTCTCTTCTCTTCATTTTTGCTTCTCCTAGTCATTCTCCCCGTTTCTATAACAACATCGTGACAAACTCCCCCTTCCACTCTTATTGGAGCTCTATTCCCCCGCCACCACCAGTTAACTGCCGCACGTGTGCGTTGAAATGACTATTACAGTCGAATATGTTCCCGAAGAAGATACTCTGGCAATTGTCACAATTAAAGAAACGCAATCGGCAAGTTTACGAACAACAAATGCCATTTTAATCGGTGAGTCTGACTGAACAATTTTTGGTTAAAACAGCGTAAATCAATTCCAGCTGCATTACTGATTTCGTCATATTTTCTGAATGTTTTGTTTATTGTAGCGGTGCTCATAACGTAAGAATTTTACAATTTTTTAAAAATGTTATGGAAATTTTCAAACTCCTACTTTCTAGAAAATCTTTCCGCACCACAATATATTTGATGTATTGCCATTTGGGCTTCGTAAATATCATCGATCTTTCCTTCAATATTTTCTTCGCTTTGATATTTGTGGCAAACGGAAATTGGAACATGAGCAATGGAATGTGCACATTCAATGTTGCAATTCAGGAGGTATTTTCTACTTTATTCTAATGAATTTTTTCATAAAAATTTAGTTTGTCCATCTTCACACCTTATTTGTTCTCATGATAATTGGGGCTGAGAGAGCGTTGGGAATCATTTTGGGACCTGAATATGTTACTCATGGGCACAAGTATCTTAGTGGACTACGTATTACAGGTAAACTAGTTTAGTTTTTTTTTTCATTCACCTCACCTAAAAAAACAACTACTTTAGGAGTCAGTCTGATTCTGAGCTGTGTCTCAATCTCTTTTGCTTCTGTTGTTTTCATGAATGTGATTCCTACAAAACCGTTTCGCAACCGCTACGTGTGTGGGATAGACGGGTATTTTTCCTATTTTTCTGTTTTTCGCATTTTCTAGATTCAATTTTTCAGCGGTGGCCCGATTGGTTACGTGATTGCTCGGTTGATTGTTTACACCGGCTGCTTGGCAGTGATTCTGGTTGCTATTGGAGCGATTCTTCAGAAAAGAGTAAATAACTTTTGAATTATTATTTTTTAATACATCTTTTTTCAGACAGCCGCCTCCATATCGCCAAACACTCAGGAATATGCGGAATTTATAAAAAGAAACAGAGCAATGCAAGAGCATCGAAGTCGGGCAAAGCTGGTAGGTGGAGGGCTATCTTTAATAAATTGAAAGGTCTTTGAATTTAAGATGATCTTCATAACGTGCGTCTTTCTATGCATAGAAGGACCATATATCACATTATGCTTCTTCTACGAAACATATAACAGCCGCGAGTTCTCTGATGTCAGTATAGATGTACCCCAAGACGCTGACACTTTGATCACTTGGCTAAAATTCGTTTTCCCTCTTATTTGCCCTATAATTGTAAGTTTGAAAATTCCCTTGTCATGTTATTTTGCACGATTTAGATGCTGAGCTGGTGCAATGATGTGTGGACAAAAGTGAAAGAAGTCATGTGTTGCCGGTCGTATGATCCACCTACCATTGGGCATATGCCAGGAAACAGAGGTTTGCCTATACTATTGTTCAGTTCACAGAAATTTTGATTTTCAGAAAACTCAGATCTGTCTCCAGTGATGACTGTAGTGGGTGGTGAACATGGTGTAAGAGTTAAATCTGACGCACAAGGAGGATATCGACTAAGGCCCGGATGGGTTCCGACGCCTTCTGTTTCAAGCTATGAAAGCGAAGCACCAAGTTGTAAGATTTCATAAGTTTTACTTTGTGTTGGAATGTATACTAAATTTTCCAGCTGTCACTCAAGAAACGACAATTCCAGTGGTCACTCATACACAACAGCCATCAGTTGCTTCAACTCTCAGTACTCCATCTCCTAGCGAGACACCAAAACCAAAAGAAGGGAAATCTCCGCGAAATGCTCCTTCGAAAATCCCAAGACAGATTCCCCAATTTAAACCAAAACGCCATAATCCAAAACCTATTAAGTCAAGTTCTCAAACAATCAAACCATTGTAGAGTAGAATGTTTGAAATATATTATTTTTGAAATTGCGAAAATCTTGGTTATTGGTAATTTTTGAAAAATAAACATTTAACAATCGACAGGTGGAATCACAGGTGGAATCACAGGTGGAATCACAGGTGGAATCACAGGTGGTGGAATAAACTCAATCTCATCGGAAACTGAACGAAATACGGATCTAGAATCGGAGTGACGATGTTTCCTTCCATGACGGCGACGTTTGTAATGGGGTTCCTTGTAGAACGGACTCTCAATGCTAAAAAGAGTTTCTATATTTTGAAACCATTTTCAACTTACTAGTTGGAAGGATAGCCATAACGAGTAGGGTAATAATAATGTCCTCCATAAGGAAAGGATGAGCCTAAAGCAACCAGAATATATAATAGTAGAATATAATTCATGATTTGAATCCCAGATAGTTTTCCAAAGGACCCCACTTTTTATATATCCAGATTTTGTTTTGGAGCAAAAAGAAATCTGAAAAAAAGAGCGAAGATTATTTTTTGTTTTCAATGTCGTGACGCTTTGTGAATCACGTAGAAAAAAAAACCAAAGAAAATGTGTTTCTTCTTGAGTTTACCACATCGGGTACATAAGCATTTTGAAAATTTGTGATTACAAAAAAAATGCAAAAATTGATTTTAGAATACTTGAAAAAAACTGTACAACAGAGTTGTCTGAGCTAGTACCTTTCGACACCAACAAAAGGTTTCCCACACCCAAGCAACGGCATCTCTATCCCAATACAATCGCTCACAATTCGAATGTTTTCAGAGTTTAAGGAGACATTTGAATTGGCTTCTGTTCTAGAATCTCTTTAAAAATTTCAAGTGTGTTTTATAACAACTCTGTTTGAATTCTACGTTATTCACTTTTTTTGATTCTTTTCAGCATGGTATCTTCAGAATAAATTGTTGTCCTATCATTCATTCCTTGTTGATTTTATTTTCTTTTATAACAGTAACCCAAAAATATTTTTTCTGGAATTCAAAGTGATTTCTTCTTCCAAATCCAATATAAAAGAAACTAATATAACAAGGAAATTGTGTAGAAATCGTTAAGTTTTTGTAGCGGTTTGCCTCAGTAGGCAGAGTTGCGACATGGTTTGCCAACAATTACGATTCTTCGAAACGCGAAAATCGAAACATTAGATACAAAAACGTGTTTATTACCATAAAAACATTAATTATCACTTAAAATTACTTTACTTCTTTCCAAATGTGTTCACACCGTATGGAGCTTGAGCAGGAACATCGTTGGATGGAGATCCGTAAGCTGTAGCAGCTGGAGCCTCATGAGCAACATTTCCATAGCTTGGCACATGGTGTGGGTATGGATAGTAATCTCTCTCGTACGAGCGAGACTCATAAGAGCGAGATTCGGAGCTTGAACTTGAAGAAGACGAAGAACTACGGCCTCCACGATGACGTCTTCCGTGTCTTCCGTGTCTTCCACGGCGGTGTTTGTGATGCGGCTCTTTGTAGAATGGACTGTCGATACTATAAAGATATCGTATTCAAAAAGTAACCAATCGAATTGAACTCACTAGTTATCATGATGTCCATAGCCTCCCACATGGTAGTTGTCATTGCTGACGCCGTAGTTTGCAAAAGCGAAGGCTACTAGGGCACAGAGTACAAGGAGGAACTTCATATTTCAATGCTTGGATGCTTCCTCAGAACCCAAGTCTGTGTATTTATATCTAGGTTTGTTTTTTCTTGCAAACCGTGCGTTGAAATTTTTTAATCAAAAAACAAGAAACAAAAATCGCATTTTGTTTGGAAACTTGTGACGTCTTATGATTCACCGGCACTTACAAGGAAGCTACCGCATAGATTTCAGTTTATCACGTATATTGTACCCAAAAGATCGTTTTCTGGGAATAGAATGGGGTTAATGACGAAAAGTTGATGAAAATTAGTACCTCGTTATGAGAAATTAAAATTATTTTTTCTATAGTAGCCTAACTGCGCATTGATTATGGATAGTAAACAAAATGAAAACTCGCAAATTCGCAGTTTGGAAACATTGAAACTTATGTTCCACTTTGCGCTGCTGAGATCGTTGTTGATATTTGGAGGATAAATGAGAAACATGGTTATAATATGCTAAGAATGTGTCGAGTGATGGGAAAATAATACTCCAAACAGAAGAATAATATACACAAGTCTGGGAAGAGCCTCATTGAGCACTAGTCTTTCGGAATTCAAGTTCAGCCTCCCCCACCGTGAATTCATACCTGCACCAACTGATTGCCACTTTTCCGAACACCCAGAAACAAAAAAAAATGATGCCTTGAAGTCGTTGGATTACTTTGTCGTCTTCAAATCTTCACATCGCTGATTAATTTTTGCTTGCTAAAGCAACTACAATTTTTTGTGCAATTGAATACATAAATTACAGTACGCCTGACTTAAAAGTTTTGAAACGTCGTTCTTCAAAGTTTTCAAGCATATCATTGTTAATTGCATTCCTCTTTCCAAACGAACTTTCTCAGAAAAATATATCTTTAGGTTGCCAAATAAAATCAATGATGCTCAAGAAATAGTTGAATACTCTTAATTGAAACAATCATGTTTTCAAAACTCTCTTCCGATGCACACAGAGGATATTTGCGTTCCATTTGGATTGGCAACCAATACACGCAGATCAATAACAGACGACCAAGTAATGAAGAGGTAGGTCCTCGCTTTCCTCTGCGTTGCATACGCACACACGTATAAATACATATGCGCAACGTGGAAACCTAGCGGGGTGGGTCACAGACTCGCAATAAGATCACCCTTTGTGCGGGACCAAACGCGCTCTTTTGCACTCGCCAATTGGGGTGGCGCGCAAAAAGACGCAATTTATTGGTGTGTGTGTGAGCGCGGGAAATTCACTGGCCGATTGCCACCTGTTCTCACAGTCTTTGTTTCTTGTTTTTCGGAGGGTGAGAAATGTGATCGAATGAAGCCCGTCACTCATTTATCTCGCTAATAGTTTTATCATTGCCATTGTTTACCAGAACTTTTATCAGTTTTGTATCAATTTTTCTTGACATCTTCCCAATTTTTCTACTCGACTCATAAACGAAATTTTATTACAGGTAAAAGTTACAACGCTGCACCCATCTCTAACAATTCCATTGAAAAATCGATAAAAACGGTTCCGGCACATAACAACATGGATCCGGATCGATTGCAAGAAGCACTAAGAAGAGTGCGTCGCGCGTGGGACGAACTGCCACGTGAAGAATTTGAACGAGCATTGTAAGTGTTTTTCATTGTTCAGTTGTTCGCGGTTAGGTTAGATAAATTCTATCAATACTTTGTCCTGGTTTTCCGGTAAAATTCCTAATTTTTTTTCTTTCTATTCAAAATTGATGAGCAACTTTGGCGAGAAATGATACGACAGAAAACAGACACCGTTAAAATTTCAGGGACAATGCCTATCTTCGTATGAACTTGCGTCAACAATACATTCCAAATCGCTACATTAATCCGCAAATGCTTAATGTCGGAAGCCATGGAGTGATTTGTTCAGTGCGCGACGTGTTCAATCCCAATCTGAAGCTAGTGGCGAAAATGCACTGGAATCTCCACAATCTTGATCGAGAAAAGACCAATTATAGCAACCTGCAAGCATTATCAGGATTTGCCTTTTTCCTAGACGCGTTCATTATGCCACTTCAAAACGCAATTATGCTAGGAGATCGTTTCGGATACATGAACGGTAAGTTAATGCTACCGATTTTCGGATAGAATTATCGTTGAATAAAATTTTCAGTTTTCCAGTACGTCGGAGAGTCACTGCTGAAAATTGTACAGCGAAGTTTGCCTATTAATCAGAGAAATGTTGTCACTCTGGGCTACAAACTTTTCCTGATTATTGAATCAATGCACGCGGCTCGACTTGTCCACAGAAGTATTAAATTGAACCATGTCACACTACAAAGACTGCCTAATGATGTGAGTTCATAAAATTTTATATCGAATCTGCTTTCTTGTTTTTTGTTTTTTTTAACAGAACAAAAAGTAAAATTAGAAATAATAGTAAAATACAGGGTAGCTAATAAATACTGATGCACATTCAAGACGTCATAACTCGTTCGAAAAACATCGAGAACTGTTGAAATTTTAACAGTAGTTTATTGAAGTTCATTAAAACGTTAAAGAAACAAAATTTGACTACAGTTTCCAAATTCTTCACCAAAGGCTTAGGTGAAAGCTCGATTCCTTTCGCTCGATTCACCTTCAAAGCATCCGAACTTTAGTAGTTTTCCAAAGGAACCCTTTAGCTCAAATATCCCTGAGTGACATAGTCTGGTAATTTCAAATCTAGCGAGGAAGCCGGCTTCATTGAAACCACTATAAAACCCTGGAAAATCGCCCTTGACCTACTGTAGAGCGTCTGTGGCACGACCCTTGGCTTAAATTCAAAAGTTTTCTTTTGTTGTAAAGAGTTTCGAAGTCAGTAAAAGTAATTAGGCTGTTTTTACCGCTCTTGTTAGCCTGATCAGCAAATATTTCATCATCAAAAAACGCAGAAATGGCAGAAATGGCTAGCGTGCCACGGGGGAGGTGTGTTGTTTTTTTCTTCCGAAGCAGCTGGATTTTGTTCGTCAGGAACTCCGACTTCTGTATTTGATAAGAATGGAGGTACAACTTCTGATTGACAAATCTGTGAACCATATTTCGTTGGACTTCTTCTCTGGTATCATACATCAGTCCTCTTAATCAAGATTCTCAGCACCTCGCTCTTTTTGAAGACGTCCGAATTGGTCTTTGCGTAACTAACACTTCAATGCATGGTTTGGTCGCGCCATCTCTTTCAAAATAGAAAGTAAGCCATGAAACTTTGCAAATTTGTAAAAAGAAATGTGAGAAACAAAAATTGAACAAATTATAGCCAGTACCACTCTTGTGAAGGCGTGTAATTGGGCGCAAGTTTGTGTATCAGTATTTATTAGAAACCCTGTAATGGAACTTGAAATGAAAAGTGTGAAAGTAATAAAACGTCCAGATTGTTTTTGATAATGAGCTTAATACTGTTTGTCAGAAACTGAATTAAACTTCAACTGATATAATAACATTTATTTTCAGAAATTGAGCATGTCGCTGATTGGACTTGATGAGGCTCTCCCACTTGATCCCTCGCCAATGGACAATTTGGACGTGGTGTCTCAAGATTCTAGTCTATTCGTTGACGATGGAAACCCATACGAGACATTCGATGACTTTATTTCTGGAATTTATCTGATTCTTCGCTTGTCTGGAATCGATATCTTCGAAAATACTGGTGGCAATTTCCGGAGAATTGGCAATCAGAAGCAACGATTCGTAAGTTTGAAGCCAATTTTTCAGACTTTCAAAATTGATATTTCAGCATCAGAACCCCCATCAATTCCTCAACAATGAGAATGTTTGGATTGGAGATTTATACAATGAGATTCAAAGACAAAATGTGCACGGATATAATCACAATCAACTTTTCCAACATTTCCGCCAAGCCATTCCAAACTTTATTCCAATTGTCAATCCAGACCTAGAAATTGAGTATATTCTTATCGGCAATGATACTATTTTCCTTGGTTAGTTAAAAGGAAATGCTCCAATAACCGTTTCTCCCAATTCCATTCCCATCATCACAATGTTAAAACTGTTTTTTCCCACCCAAACCCGCAGAAATGTTGCCGGTTTCCAAGAGAGTTATGTTTCCTGTTAATAATTTTCCTGTTTTTTATTCACGTTTCGTGAATTTGTGCACATTCCTTGACCAACTAGAATCTGTTATTTTGAAGCTTCGCTGTAAGCCTATCATGTTAACTAGTTCACAGAATCCATAGAATCTTCACGCACTCCCTGCATTGTTTTTAGTTTTTGTGTTGACTAGCACCTGAATTGTGTGCTTTGTTTTTTTACCTTTTTTCTTAAGTAGATCAAATTTCTCTAATAGTGAGCATCATTTTTCTTGTATCGCACCTCTTCAATATTTTTTACCCCTCAACGCATTCATTTTTACAGTGTAAATAAAAGAGGGGGTTTTTTATCAACTGTTTTTCGCTTTAAAAACCATTCTTATTAAGGTTTACTATGATGAATTGCTGGTTGAAGGGAAAATTCTTCAAATACGGAGCCTACTTTGCAAAAAAACAGATTTCTGATGATCCCGCCTTCAAAAGTTCAAAAATAGACTTTAAAGGGGGACTCCGACCAAAAATTTTTATTGCATTAAAATGTGTTAAAAGTTATCTATTTTCCGAATATTATTGCGAAAAAATTCAAAAAAAATCCGAAATTCCCAAAAAACGCCGTTGAAAAGGAAGAAAATTCAAAAAAAGGTGCCGCCGGGGGACGAGGGTTTTCAGTGAGAAACCTAGGCCACGGCAGCGGGCGCCTTTCCTATGTGGCAAATTTCCGGATTTTTTTCAATTTCATGTTCGGCAGGTAAAAAACGTAAAAAACCACTGTCGGCGACTTGAAAAAAAGGCTGTCAGGTGCCGTGGCCTAGGTTTCTCACTGAAAATCCTCGTCCCCCGGCGGCACCTTTTTTTGAATTTTCTTCCTTTTCAACGCCGTTTTTCGGGGATTTCGGATTTTCTTTGAATTTTTTCGCAATAATATTTTAAAAATAGATAAATTTTAACACATTTTAATGCAATAAAAATTTTTGGTCGGAGTCCCCCTTTAAATGTTGAACATGCTAAATGGGAATTATTTTTACAGGTTTACTAGATTTGGAAGATTTCATTGTCAAATTGAAACCAAATATGAGGTTGATACATGAGTTTTTTTTCCAATTTTGGCAAAATTTTGATCAAATTTTAGGCAAAGTGGAGAGGGCTAGAACAATGCAAGTGATATCGTTCAAACGGAACGGTAATTTCTTGATTCCATAAGTTCAAAACGAGAAGGGCTGCAATTGGAAAAGTGGGTCGCCTGCTTTTTGATGTTACCTTTTGACTTGGAGTCTTATCTATCAAGATGATTCAAAAGATAGTTTTGTACTGAAATCGTGAAACATGTTTTTGATCGAAAATCGGCAAATAGCTGGAAAACTGAAAATTTTAATCTACGTCTGTTTTCCACCCCGAAATTTTCAAAGTGATCGGAAACTTGATAGCCGTGCTCTAGACTCCTGAAAATAAGCAAAATGAACCCAAAAGATATGTTTTTGTATATCGTATTGACCGGAACTGTGAATACATAAAATATTTCATTGAATTCCGATCACAAATATACTAATTTCCACTTATCAAGGGTTTCATACCATTCGGTGAAATAAATAAATTTGGATTGGTAACCAAAACAAGGTCAACAATGACTGGGGTCCTCGCATTCCTCTACATTACATACCCGCACACGTATAAAGATGCGCAACGTGGCACCCTAATAAGGTGATGTGAATCGACTACTCTGAGAAAACAGCGCTTTATAAGGGACCAAACGCGCTCTATTGCACTCTCAGAGTGGCGTAAGTTGTTGGTGGGTGTGAGTACGGGTGACTGGCTGGTTACTACCTGTCCTCACACTCTTTGTTTTTTTCGGAGGGTTAGAACTGTTATTGAGTGGAGCGCATCACGCATTTATCTCGCTTCTAGTTTTATCATTACCATTGTTCCCCAGAACTTTCAGCAGTTTTGTATCAATTTTCCTTTCGGTTTTTTCTTTTCTCTCTTTGATTCATTAACAAAGTTTCATTTCAGGTAAAACCAAAGATAAAAAAAACCGGTAAAATTCCTAATTTTTTTTCTTTCTATTCAAAATTGATGAGCAACTTTGGCGAGAAACGATACGACAGAAAACAGACACCGTTAAAATTTCAGGGACAATGCCTTACTTCGTATGGACTTGCGTCGAAAATACATTCCAAATCGCTACATTTTTCCGCAACTGCTCAACATCGGAAGCCATGGAGTGATCTGTACAGTAAGCGAGTCAAACCACCCAAATCAAATGTTTGTGGCGAAAGCGCATAGGAAGTTTCAAACGATTCGCCAAGAAATAATGAACTATCGATACGTGCAAAGCCTATCAGGATTCGCCCGTTGTTACGACGCGTTCACAATGCCGCTTTCAGATAACGCGAATCTGACAAGAAGTCGCTTCTGCCACATCATGAGTGAGTGAATGCTACCTGTATTTAAATATTATTATTATCTCAGTTACCGAACATGTCGGAGAGTGCTTGCAGGACATTTTGAAACGCAGTGGAGTTATCAATCAGAAAAATGTGATCACTCTGGGCTACAAACTTTTTTATATTGTGGAATCATTGCACGCTGCTCGATTAGTTCACAGAAATATTAGTTTGAAAAACGTGATGCTACAAAGGATGTCCAATGTGGTGAGTTAATTGATTTGTATTTCGAATCTGCAATCAAAACCAAATAGTCTACATTGTTTCTGGTATTGCCCTTATTGGCCAACATTGTTCATTGAAAACTAAAACACACTCCAACTGACATAATAACATTTATTTTCAGGAAGTGCGCATGTTGCTGATTGGACTAGATGATGCTCTTCCACTTGACCCATCGCCAGTGGACAATTTCGACGTGGTGTCTCAAGATTCTAGTCCGTTCGTTGACGACGGAAACCCGTACCAGAAATTCGATGACTTTATTTCTGGAATTTATCTGATTCTTCGCTTGTCTGGAATCGATATCTTTGAGAATACTGGTGGCGATTTTCGGAGAATCGCCAATCAGAAACAACGCTTCGTAAGTTTGTAGCCGATTTTTCAGACTTTCGAAATTGATATTTCAGCACCAAAACCCCCACGGCTTTCTCAACAATGAGAACGCTTGGATCGGACATTTGTACAATGAAATTCAAGCACAACGCGTGAATGGCTACAATCACTATCATATTTTCCAAAATTTCCAGCAAGCCATTCCAAACTTTGTTCCAGTCTACAATGAGACTATTTTCCTTAGTTAGTTAACTGAAATTCTCCAATAGCCGTTTTTCCCAATTTTATTCCCATCATCTCAATGTTAAACATGTTTTTATCCCACCCAAACCGGCAGAAATGTTGCCAGTTTCCAAGACAGTTATATTTCCTGTTAATAATTTTCATGTTTTTTTCAATTCACGTCTCGTGAATTAGTGCGCATTCCTTGATCAACTAGAAACTGTTATTATGATGCAATGCTTCATGCCTATCATGTTAACTAGTTCATAGAATCCATGGAACCTATACGCACTCCCTGCATTTTTTTTCATTTTTTTTTGACTAGCAGCTGAATTGTGTGCTTCTTTTTTTTACTTCTTCATTCCAGTATTTCAAGCATTTTTTTCTTATATCGCACCTTTTCAATATTTTTTACCCCTCAACGCATACATTTTTACAGTATCAATAAAAGAGGGGATTTTTTAAACTCTTTTTTTTGTTACAAAACATCTGCTTCCAGGTGTCAGGTTAAAAAATCTGCTTTTAAGCAGGTATTTGAAATTTGTCAAATACTGTGTCTAGTGAAAAAATACCGGAAATCTCGCTTTTAATAATACAAAAATAGGTTTCAAATTTTGAACATACTAAATAGGAAAAGGTTTTACAAATTTACTGAAATTTCGAGAACACATTGAAAAAATGAAACTGGACTGTGAATTAAATTTGCTATAGGAGTTTTTTTTAATAGAACCTACAGAAAAAAACACAGAAAAGTTTGCTACAATGTTCATTTATGTTACGTTTGAAATATTAAATATCAGAAAAACAAAGAAAATTATGCATCTCTTCAACTTCTGTCTTGTTCTGATGAACTTGTTTCATCAGACGCCGAATTGGAAAATGATCTTGATTGAGAGCTAGAGATGCGGGAATCCGATTCGTTGGAGTGAGAGTTGGACTTTGAGTGAGAATTGGAAATTGAGCTCGATTTGGATTCGAAGCTGGAACTGACACTTCCGCTGGAGTCAGATGCGATGCTGTTGGAACCACGGGAGAAGCTCTCGGAAGAACCACGTGAACTGTCGAAATCGGAGCTATCACGCCGGGAGCTAGCAGTGGAAACAATCACAATGAGGGCAGCCAATACAAGAATAAGCTTCATGATGTTGGTTTCAACACTTCTAGAAGCACAAATTGTCTTTTTATACAAAACCTATGTTTTGAGAACAATGAAAAATTGATTGTTTTGGTTGGAAAAGAAAAAAGAACAAAAACATTTATGTTTTGAAAAAAAAACTGAAGGGCATGGAAAAATGATGGGAGCTGACATGAATCAACTGGTGACAGTTGCAATGTTTTCGATTTCTCCTTGTGATCGATGAACGGAGATTTTGAACTTTTGAAATGCGATTGAAAAAAATCTGCTTGCACTTTTTAGGAGATGTACTGTTCTGAAATAAAAACCTTGTTTATATTTTTGAAAGGTTTGTTGGAAAATAACTCGGAAATAATAATTTTTAAGAATCTAAAATATATTAGCCACCGTATCTTCTCTAATGCTTCGACCTCAATTTCAGTGAAAGATATTTAAAAAGTTGCAACTAAACAATTGTCGGTAACATTGTGGAAAAAATTTCATCAGTTGACTAAACTTTGTTATCTCTTATAAAAACCGAGATAAATCAGAGCAAAGTGTGAGAACGAAGATGACGTTCCGTTAGAGAAAGTGCGGTGTTTAGAGATCCAGTCGTTGTGATAATCAAGTTAAGCTGACAAATACTCATTAGCTTGATGATCTTTTGCTAAATGCTCACTTGCTAAATATGCTCATTTGCTAAACTCGCTCATTTGCTAAAATAGTCTCACTTGCTAAATTTCATTTGCTAAATTTTGATCATTTGCTAAAAATGAAAAAGTGGAATTTTGCTGTTATTTGCTAACTTCATTACTTTTTGACTAAATTTTTTACAGAATATTCCGGTTTTTGCTTTAAATTTTAGGCTAGGCTTAAAAACCTGTTTTCCGGTAAGGAGTTTCAGCCTAAGCCTTCAATTTGAACAAATCCTCTATTTAGCAAATGATCAAAATTTAGTAAATGAAATTTAGCAAGTGAGACTATTTTAGCAATTGAGCGAGTTTAGCAAGTGAGCATATTTAGCAAGTGAGCATTTAGCAAAAGATCATCAAGCTAATGAGTATTTGCCAGTTAAGCTTGATCTTACTCCTCTTGGCGGCCCAAGAATTGACTTCTTTTCTATTTATTTATATTATCACGATTTCAATTGAGTACTTTCCATGAAAAAATATGTTCATTATTAGAAAACTTTTATTAAACAAAGATTATTTCAGAAACTCTGATAATTCATAGAACAAATGCAAGTCAATATCCGTTTCCAGAGTCTTGAGCTGGTGCTCCATAAGCGGTCTGAGCTGGAGGATCATTGGAAGCAGCTCCGTATGATGGAGGATTTTGAGCTCCATAACTTCTTGGCAGATAAACGTATTCGCTGGAGTAGTCGCGGCTGTCGGAACGGGACCAGGAACGCGAATCAGAGTCGGACGAGTCAGAGCTATCACGGTGGTGACGTCCGTGGTGGCGCTTGTGGTGACGTCTCGGGATATCGAAGTCGTCGAAGACGTGGCTGAAAGCATTCAATATTTTCTATCATGAAAAGTAAGCTTACTTGTATCCTGGATCTTGTTGTCTGCCGTTGTTCTGGTATCCAGTGTTAGTATCCTGAGAGACAGTGTTCACTCCATAGCCGGTAGCAGCAACGGCGGCAAAAAGCGCAACAAGAGCAAGAAGAAGTTTCATTTTTCTGGTTGGATACCTTGCCACTGACACAGACCCTTTTATATGTAACGTTTGTTTTGAATTCGATGGGATGAGAAATGATAGGGAAGAAAAAAAGTTTTGAGAGCGAAAAAAGTTTTTGAGATTGAAGAAAGACAACCTGATGATTTTTTTAATATTGTGACGTCAGTGTACCATTCAGAAAACAACATAAAACAATCAGCGTTCAAATCTCAATGAAAAGAAAGGTATTGTTTTATGAACATTGATTATTGGGAAGAAACGAACGGTTAAATGAATTAAAACCCAGAAGTTTCATAAATCAAAATAGAAAAATCACTGTGTCGAATCATTTTTTGGAACCTTTACTTCGAAGGCATAAAGGCAATAGCCGTGGATTAGAAAATCCTCGTCCCATCAAAGCAATTTCAAAGCACTGATCGTGTTGCGGATGGCATCTTTTACTTTAATGTTGAAAGTTTTGATAATCGAACTCTGAAATTACGTAGTTTTTAAAAATTATTACATTGAGAACACATGTGCATGCTGAAAATCGCTTCAAACTCAGAGAAACAGGTTGTGTTTTTTGTGGCTGAAAACAATCATTTTGTGAATTTTACTGATTTCACAGATTTTGAAAAACAATTTTAAAGTGGTCCGTGAAATTTCCAACTCCTTGAAAATTCGTGAAATCCCGGCCCAGAACAGAATTTTTCGAACTTATTCCATATAACTGTTATTAATTATTTTCATAAAAATGCCATCAATTCAGAAATGAAAAATGATGTTTCTTCAGTTCCTGCGCCCATTCATCACCACCTTCGATGACGATGTCCTCAGAAATGTTTATAGTTCGTTTTTCACACATTTTTCTCACAAAATGTTCATCATCTAATCACACGCGGGCGTTTTATCGCCTCCCAAGAAATCAGAGTTCGCACCCAGAGGAGGGCTCTCGGCGACTCTCTCCTCCCATCAATTCAATTTCTTGTCTGAGCAGAGACACGACCAATTAGTGAAAAGAGTGAGAAGATGAATAGTGTACACCAGCACACGCACGAAAAAAAAAATTATGCAACACTTCTTATGCTCTTCCAATTATTTTGGCTCACTTCCCTAGGGAATTTCTTCGGACTTCCTTATTTTTTTTCCTATTTTTGAAAATAGACGCATTATGACAGAAAATAACTATTTATGTTGAAAGTTAGTTGGCATATTTGCAATTATAATTTTTTTTGAATTACATTTGTGTTCTAAAATTACAATAAACAGCTCATTGGTATAGTTTTTAATGTATTTCTTTTTCTTCATGCCCATCTTCATAACAGTGTCAGTTTTTGTTGTATTCTTGGATACGTGTACATTTTCGTTTTTAAGTTGCTTTCCAGAGAGGATCACAGGTGAAGTGGTGGACAAAAAACCTCGTTAGGTGCCTAATGATTTGGGTTTCGAGATAGATGAACAAAGATGATACCGAAACGCCAACTGACAACACACTTCCTTCACTCTTTTTTCTTATATTTTGTGTGTATGTGTGTTTTTGTTTTCAGGTACACTTTTCTTTCCGGTACTTTTTTTTGATTTTTCGTTTTGACTTTAAACGAATGGACATTTTGAAAATAGAAGTTCATTCAAGCGGGTGGGTGCCATCGATCTTTCAAACTCAATTTGCAGTTCACTCGTTCCTTTTTTCTGGTAATCCGATCCATCTTTCTGGTTCATCAGCGCAAAAAATAGAACAGAAGATAGAGGTAATGTTGAAAAGTTGAAAATATGATGTGATGATATTTTTCGAGCAGAAAAAAACAGAAGAGACATGGTGCGAACAATCCCAGACCAAACCCATTTATCTTTTTGACACCACCCACCCGCAAAGAAACGTTTTTGTCTTATGACCAACTTGGTTTATTCCCAACAGACGAGATTTTTTCAGTCACACTTTTCTTGTTTTTCAGTAAATCACTATTTCCTGAACTATTGTTGTTTTCAAAGCTTCTATTATAAAATTGATTAGTCATATAAATCATCACGTGGGTCAGCTACTTGGTTTATTTTTCGGGTTTTTGTTTCTTGGAAAGAGCCAATCCGGACCGACCTTTTTTCAGAACTTTCAAAAAAATGCCCGGCTGGTTTCGGCCCGAGTTTACAGTATTTTCTTCCCGTCTTTTGGAAAAAAATGTTTCGGGGTCAATACCAAAAAATCCATTATTATCTGTCAAAAAGTTAAACGATTCTAAAACTTCCAGGCTTTGATTTTTCAATTGTTTTTCAATTCTGTAATTTTTTTTCTCCAATTGCATTTTTTGCAAAAAAAAATTCATACAAAATAATTTGACTCAGAGCTCATTAAAACTTTTCATGACCTGAAAATTTTTGCAAATTCCGCTTCATCGATAACTTTCGAGCTTATCTCGCTTGATTAGCTAACACTCACTTGATTTCAAATTCATCAGAATCTTCGTAACTTTTTTTCCTAAAAGTGCACAGAATCTAGAAAAATAAGACTTTGAAATGTCATTTCAGAGGATCGAAGAATGCGTTTCGTGTCTGGAAGATCCATTATTCAGGAAATCGGAGAGGACCCGAAACATGGGTCCTCTCCGAAAAACTCCTTTTTTTGAACTCGCTTTTTGATCTTCATTTTATATTTCACTCTGTTTAGTCACGTAATGTTTAATGTTTTGGATTCTCATTGAGTCTCGCTTTTTGCAATAGCATTAAATTGAGAACATCTGGTGTCTCCGCCAAACAATTGAACAAAATTGAGGAGGAAGAGCAGAAATAGAATTTTTATTGACCTTTCGCTTCTTTTTTCTTCTTTCGCCGTTCCTTTCATTAGGTTCTTCACAAATTTGAATATTTTATCAAATCAACAGAGAAACTGAAGGGGGTCCCACAAAACTGCCCGCCGACGAATTGACCGGGGCGAAAACGGATGAGACTAAATGCCCCGAGGGACGCGCAAAACACTGCCAGTGATGTGACTTCATTCTGCATGTTACCCTCTATTAGCCTTTCGAGCAGTTCTCGGCCAATAAGTTTTTTTTCGTCTTGCTGCTGCTGTTTCTAATTCTCTGCTGTTTTTCGATTCCTTATTTTTTTGGGTTTGACCGGTTGTACGGTAAAAATTTCAGTTTCTGTTATTATAGACTACAAGGATTATAGACAGTATAATATATACTGTCTAGGAAAACATGTCTAAGATATTCAATTCTTAGAAACTCTATTGTCTCTGTTTCTTAATCTCAGCGGTAAACATTCTTAACACGATTTTTCCAATACTTTTCCTCTACTTTTTCTATTTGATGTTTTTATTATATTTTATCGTGTTCTAAGTTTAGTTCTGAATTTTGTTCCCCGTATTTAGAATTCCGTCATGCACTTCTCATATTTTTTTGAAATTCAAAACCTTCGTGCCATTTGGTGTTTTTTGCGAATAGTTGTTCGAGCTGATGTATTTTATACCAATTATGAATCAGATGTTTGTCAGAAGCGCTCAGAATCAGATTTCCCAACAAAAATTTCAGTACTCACATTGACATATCATTAGTGCTTGGTGTCATTTACAAAATAACGCATCAATATTTTTTCTATTTTTTCTAGCTTCATCTCAAAATCACAAGCTCCAATTACCACACCTCCTCCTCCTCTGAATCCCATCTATTTATTGTTTCATTTTTCTCCAGCTACGCAGAGACAAGAATCCTTGATTTATTTCATTTTCTATTCCTGCATCATCATCATCATATGCCTAATAATATAATCGCAAGTCTCTTCTTCTCTTTCTTCATTTTTCTTCTTTTCTTCTTCCACATTGCTCTATTCCTTCGCCTTCACGCTTTTTTCAACAATCTCTCTCCCTTTCTAATCCTCATTGAAATTGACTTCGTATGATTCAAAGGGACATTTTACTTTTAAAAAGTGGTTATCAACATACTGAATTTTTCCGGAAATATTTCGTTTGACAGTGTTATTTTTTTTTCAGGCGGTCCAGAAGAGCAAAAAAATAAGGAAGAATATGCTTGTTTTTTTTTTCAAAAGCATTTTTTACAAACACTTCAGAAGCCCGCAAAATCTATGCGAAAAATGTTTACTTCCTGATGAAAACTTGTTTAATTTATTCTGGAAACACTTTGAGTTGAACAAACAGAAAATAGAAATTAAAAAAAAAATTGAGTTGAAAGTGATTTTAGAGAATTTGAAGATTAAAAATTAAATTACAGGTAGAGAAACATGGAAAAAATAAATTTCTGAAAAATTCCTTTTTTTTAAATTTCTTAAAATTAGGTTAATACACGCCTTTCGAAGAGTTGAACTTCTCAAAATGCATACCTTCTCCAAAAGAACTCCAAAAAATCTCCTGGTTTCCTCTTTGGACATTTTTCAATATTTTTATACAACTCTAAAAAAATTTTGAACTGGAGCTATGATTTTGAAACTTTAGACACTTTACTGAAAGGCCATTCACCCTCACTTAATTTTCGCTTTTTTGTCGAAAATTAATTTTTCAATTGGAGCACCACCTTTGCTCATCTAATGTGGTCACTAGAATCACTTTTGACCTTTCACACATATCCAACCACTTTTTGTCTTATTGAATAGACCCACCGACTCTTTCTATCTCTCTGTCCTACTAACCAAGAAGTCACATTTGCGACGAAAAGTGTGCGAAAGTCATATGGTTCTTCTTGGGTTTTTATGTGAAATAACGATTCGGAATTCGAGCACATCGACATTAACTGGGTGTATCGAAAATATGTGGTGAGCTCTGGATTTTGGTTTTTTTTTCTCTTCTGGGATCGAAATTCTTCGAAATGCGGAAACTGATATTCTGAAAACTTCCCGTTGGGACTTTGCTCTTGTTCCCTTACTAGCAGCTTTTCACAACTATAATTATCTCGTTTTCGTCCGAGGTCTTTAATTGGAAATTTCATTTTCCTAGTAGATGTTCACCCCATTTCTACTTGATCCCTCTCTTCGTTTCCATTGAAAATTCAAAATTTTTATTTCTTCGGTTTTAT